GCGGCCATGGCGGCGGTGGGCCCGGCGGGGCCAACGCGGCCACGGGCCGGTCTGGTGGCGGAGGCGGCGAGACTGCCAGCTTTGGCCGCGGCATGAGCTCCGACGGCTTCCTCATGTCTGGCAGCGAGGCCGAGCCGCCGAATGCGCTCGAGGACCTGGCCTACTTTGCCAGCCTGCAGGCCGAGATCCCGAGCCGCGTCACGTTCCACGTCGACCCCGTGGCGCACCACCGGCTGCTCGTCTTTCTCAGCTCGGTCAGCGAGCTGCCCAACTCGCCGCTCTTCACGCCCTCGGCGCTGCGCTGCTACATCTACCTCTTCTTCGCCAAGTTCAACCGCCTCTACCCGCTGCTCCACGAGCCGACGTTCGCCGCCAGCACCACCGATCCGATGCTGCTGAGCGCCGTGGTGGTCATCGGCGCCCACTTTGCCGCGCTGCCGGCGCACGAGCTGGCGGTCCGGATCGCCCAAAAGATCTGGGGCGCCATCGTCAGCCTCGAAGACTTCCGGCCGGCGCGCGCCACGCTGCCGATGCTGCAGGCCATGGTGCTCACCGAGTGCTTTGGCAAGATGATGAGCTCGCGCCCGCAGCACGAGATGTCGCACCTCTTCCACAACTTCATCATCACCCTGGCCCGCCGCAACGCCGTCTTCAACCCCAGCGCCTCGGCGACGTCGGCCCAGCCGACGGGCTCGAGCTACGAGGAGACCGACGAGTTCTGGCGCGGCTGGGCGCGCGAGGAGGAAAAGAAGCGGATCGCGCTGTTCGCCTTCATGCTCGACGCCCAGCACGCCACCACGTTCCGCCACATCCCGGCGCTCAGCGCGTTCCAGATCCAGCTCAACCTGCCCTGCAGCGACGACGAGTGGAGCAAGGCGTCGCCGGACGCGTGGAAGCAGCACCGCCGGCGCACAAATTACAAGGCGCCCACGCCGTTCATCCCGGCGCTCAAGGCGTGCCTCAGTCCGGGCAAGACGCCCCACGAGCTCGACGCCTTCCCGCGCTTTGTGCTGCTCCACGGCCTGATGAGCATCGCCTATGATCTGCACTGGAAGCAGAACATCCTCCTCGGCGCCGAAAACAGCGCAGGCTCGTCGACCGCGGCAGCCGGCGCCGGCGGCGGCGGCAAGGGCAATGCTGGCGGTGACGGAAGCGGCGGCAACGGAGGCGGAGTCGGCGGCAGCGGCATCGGCATCGGCAACTGGAAGGACCGGCTGTCGGCCGCCTACTCGTCGCTCCAGGCCCGTATGGACATTGCCTACATCAAGGCCGAGGACGACTCAAACGCGCGCCTCATCCACCGCGCCACGCCTAGCCTCGTCTCGGCGGCTCAGGTGACGCTTTTTGCCGACACGATCGACATCCAGGTTAGTCGCGAGCCGGCCTTCCCCTCTATTATCTCGCACCCTCCTGAGCTGCTCGCTGACCTTGTGCGACCGTCGCTCTCTCTCTCTCTCTCTCTCTCCCTTGGCCCTGCCCGTACGACCCTGCGGCAGATCTACGCTGGTCTACCCTCGGTGCTTGGCCGCTTCATCGATCGCGCCACGTTCAACGCCTCGCGGCGCTCGGTCAAGGAGTGGGCCAAGACTTCGGACGGCGCGACGGCCGTGTGGCATGCCGTCAACTTCCTGCGCACCTCGCTCCTCGGCAGCGGCACCGAGGCCTTTGGCACCATCCAGCCCTGGCGGCCGTCGCAGGGCTTTGCCGAGTCCGACGTGCGCGACCGCAACGGCAACGGCGCTGGCGGCGACGACGACGATGCCTACTCGATTGGCGGCCGCCGTGACAGCTCTCCTGGCCTTGGAGGCGGAGCAGGCGGCGGCGTCGGTGGCAAGAGGAGCCCCGATCGGGAGACGGGCCTCGACGAGGTGCTGCACCACCGCTGGTGCCAGTACCTGTGCGCGCTCGTCATCTGGGCGTATGGGCACGCGCTGGCCACGCCGCGCGGATCGCAGCCCGCCACGGCATCGAGCACGCGGCGGCCCTCGACGTCGATACCGCGCGTCAACAACGTGCCCGACGCCCCCTTCCCGCTGCAGGGCCCCTACGTGCGGCGCAATGCCGCCGCCGCGGCGGGCCAGACGAACGCGCCGCCGCTCAAGCCCGAGGCGGTCGACTTCCTGGAGCGGATGAGCACCAAGTCGCCCGAAGGGATCGCGGCCGTCGACTGCAAGTGCTATACCAAGTCGGTGCTGGAGCTCGTCGAAAAGGAGCTGCGCGGCTCGCGCTGGGAGCTGGGCCGCGAGGCGTCGGGCGTGCTGCGCAAGCTCATCTCGAATCATGCGCTGCCCGAATGGGACCGCAGCGACGTTGGCGGCACGGGCAACAGCAGCAGCAGCAGCCACCGGCACCACCCGCATGCCGGTCAGAGCAGCAACAGCAACGGCGGGAGCGGGGGTGGCGGCGGCGGCGGCAGCGGTGGCAGTGGCGGTGGCCCGGGCGGAAGCGGAGGCGGCAACAGTGATGGCTTCAAGCGGCCACCGGCTGCCAACGGCGGTGGCGGTCCCGGCGACGATAGCGCACGCGGCAACAGCAGCATCGCCACCAACGCCAAGTCGAGCCAGGTCGAGGCGGAGCCTGCCTCGTCGGCGGCGTCGCGGCATCGTGGCACGGACCCTGGGCTTGGGCATCGCAGTGCTCCAGCGAACAAGCCAAGCAGAGACGGGGTCGCTGCCATAGACGATGGCGGTCATGCGGACCGCCAGGTGCCTGGCGGCGATGGTAACGCCGGGACGAGGAATGATTCGCTCAAGCGCGAGTTGGAGATCGACGCCGATGGCAGCGGCAGCGGTGGCGGAGGCGTCGGGTCCCGACCTCCGCCGGCGCGGCGGATGCGCTCATCGCCGGGGCCAGCGAAGGACCGAGCCATGTCGTCGAGCAGCACCGAGGCTGCGTCGACGCATCATCAACACCATCACCATCAACATTCCCACCACAAAGACGGCAACAGCGGCCGTCTGCATGGCGAGCGGCGTGAGGACGAGACGCGGGCCGCGCAGCAGCAGCAGCCGAGGGACGGCAGCAACGCTCCCGCTCCCTACGCAACGGCTTCGAGCGGGCCCTCTGCCAACCCCCGCGGCGGCGGCGGCGGCGGCGGCGGGGACCGTGCGATCGGCAGCTCTGCCGGCGGCATGGGCTCGTCCAAGGCGGCCGCGCTGACGGCCTGAGGCGTGGAAAAAGAGGCCTGCCTGGGCCGAGCAGTCGACCTAGATCTCGATCTCGTTCCGCACCCATCTCTTTTGTTTTTGTATCCCCAGAGCGTCGACCCCGTTCCTTGTTTGCAAGAGTAGCATACCAGTGCAATCTTCGCCACCCGCCTGTCTGGCCGGCTGGTGAGGGTGCGAGGGTGGTCAGCGAGGTCAGGGCGGTCGCCGTTGTCGAGGAGGGGGGGTGCGGCGTGACGAGCGGGACGGGGCGACGGTGCTGTTTGCCAGACGATCGGGCTGCGACCGGGCCCGATTGACTAAAATCCCCGCCCACCAGCTGCGAGTCACTTGCCAGCCAGCCGGCCTGAGCTCAAAAAAGGTGGGCGGCGAGCGGGCGGGCGGCCAACCAACCCTCTGACGCCGGCCAGCCGACCAGACGACGCCGGGGGTACCTTTCTTCCCACGCAACGCTTCGCCCATCGTTGTCGAGCTTCCTCCACCCTACCTCGTCTCTGCCCTCCGCCCAGTCTTCATCCTCCGCCCGCCTCCAGCATACACGGCTCGCACGCAGCATAGAGCATTGAGCGCCCGTGCTTGACCTCCTCTCTGACCCACGGACCACCCTTCGCCCACGCCCGCCCTTGCTCGCACCATGGCTGCCACCACGAGCCAGGCCTCGCTCTCGTCGACGGAGCGGTTCGAGCTCATCACGCGCGACCTCGCCGAGGTGCTCGGGCAGGACATTATCAAGTCCGTCCTCGACAAGGGCGAGCGTCCGCTGCGCCTCTACTGGGGCACGGCGCCCACGGGCCGCCCGCACATTGGCTACCTCGTGCCCCTGACCAAGATCGCCGACTTCCTCCGCGCCGGCGTCGAGGTCAAGGTGCTCCTCGCCGACATCCACGCCTTCCTCGACAACCTCAAGGCACCCATCGAGCTCGTCCGCCACCGCGTAAACTACTACAAGGCCGTCCTCACTGCCGTCTTCCGCTCCATCGGCGTGCCCACCGACCGCCTCGTCTTTGTCGTCGGATCCAGCTACCAGCTCACCGAGGCCTACAACATGGACAACTACCGCCTCTGCGCCTCGGTCACCGAGCACGACGCCAAAAAGGCAGGCGCAGAGGTCGTCAAGCAGGTCTCGAGCCCGCTCCTCAGCGGCCTCCTCTACCCGGGCCTCCAGGCGCTCGACGAGCAGTACCTCGACGTCGACGTCCAGTTTGGCGGCGTGGACCAGGTGCGTGTGATGCCGACCGGGTCTGGCGGACCAGCCCCCACCCCCAATGTTCTCTCTTCCCGTTACATGCTGCTGACCGACCTGCCACGATCCTTGCTGCCTGTCGTACCGGCCCCTTACCGTCCATCCCGAACAGCGCAAGATCTTCACGTTTGCCGAGCTGTACCTGCCGCGGCTGGGCTACGCCAAGCGCGCGCACCTGATGAACGCCATGGTGCCCGGCCTCAAGGGTTCCAAGATGTCGTCGTCCGACGCCGGGTCCAAGATTGACTTCCTCGACAGCCCAAAGGAGGTGACCAAGAAGATCAACGACGCCGTGTGCGCCGAGGGCGTCGTCGAGGACAACGGCGTGCTGGCCTTTGTCCGCGCCGTCCTCTTCCCCATTGCCCGCCTTCGCGCCGAGTCGGGAGCGGCGGCGACCGCAGCTTCGACGCCCGACAGCGGCCTGTCGCGCAACTTTGTCGCCGACGACGCGCCCGCCGGCACCCTGTTCAGCGTCGTGCGCCCGGAAAAGTACGGCGGCTCGCTGCACTTTGCGCGCTACGAGGACCTCGAGGCCGACTTTAGCGCCAAGCGCCTCCACCCGGCCGACCTGAAAAAAGGCCGTGGCCGAGGCCATCAATGCGCTCCTCGAGCCCGTGCAGAAGCTGTTTGAGAGCAGCGAAGAGTTCCAGAAGGTCAAGGACGCCGCCTACCCGGAGGAGGTCGTGGTCAAGAAGAAGAAGGAGAAGAAGAGTGAGTGCGCCGATGCAGCCCGGCACGATGGAGACGAGGATACCTTGCTGACCAGCGGCGACGACGACCTTCCTTCCCCTCCTCTGTTCGACACGCGCTTCGACGCCGCCCAGTCAACCCGCGCTTCGCCCACCTGTACACGAAGGAGGAGGGCGGCACCGCCGAGTCCAAGGAGGCTGCGCTCGCCGCCCAGGCCGAGGCGCAGGCGGCCAAGGCTCAGTCCAAGGGTGCGGGCGCGGGCGCGGGCAAGCAGCAGCAGCAGCAGCAGCAGCAAAAGGGAGGGCAGAAGCCCGCCGACGCACCGGCCGACACCAAGGCACCACCAAGCGACCAGGCCAACGAGACGTTTGTCGAGGCCACCAAGCTCGGCGTCGACCAGATGTCGCTCCAGTGATGATGGCGCTTGCGCCGAGTCGTAGAGCGGCCAATGCTGATGCCTGCCAAGGGCAGTTTACGCAGAATGGCCGGTGGTCGTGGTCGTAGTCGTGTGCGTGTGCGTGAAGGCGTTGGCTGCTCCACTCGAAGGGGGCCTGGCCTGGCGAAGGGGCCGCGGCTGTGGTCGGCTCCGGCTGAGCAGGCCTTCCCTCTTTTCGCCGAATCGGGGCGATGTCGCCGATGGAAGCGTGGCTTGGCTTGTGCGTCCCGTCATGATGGCTCGGCCAAAGTGGAGGATGAGTGATGGATGGGCTTGCGCTGCGCTGCGTCGAGCTTTGCGTGTCTTGGCTTTGGCTCCGGCCACCATACATCGCATCATCGCCGCACCGTCATCGTCCTGCCTGGGTCGCTGCGGCCACCTCCCGCGCTGCGCTGCTGGCCTCCATCAGTCATGGCGGCAGGTCTCACAGCGACGACGAGCGCGGTCGACGTGGCCCCAACGGCCCCCTTCCTCCCTCCTTCTCTCGCCTCCACCACCACCACCGCCACCACCGCCACCGCCATCACTGCCACCACCATCATCCTCCCGCGGTAGTCGCAGCAAGCTGGCATATCCCACCCTCTCTCTCTATCTCGCTCTCGAAGCAGGACAGGCCTGAACGTCGACAGCAACGCATCCACCGACTCGCTCTCGCGATGACGCAGCCGATGCTGTTCCCCGTCCACTCGACGGTGCAAAACATGCCCTTTGGGCCCAAGGGGGCCGACTCGTTGGCGGGCCAGCTGTGGGACAAGGGCGGACACGCGCAGGCGCAGGGCAAGAAGCTCGACGCCGACACGCCCTACGCCGAGCTGTGGATGGGCGCGACGCACGAAAAGGGACCCTCGACGGTGGCTCTGCCCGGCTCGCCCCTCGACGGCAAGCCGCTGGCCGACGTGCTGCTCCACGACCCGGACCGCACCGTCTCGTCCAAGCTGCTCGAGTCGCACGCCTACCTCCGCCAGGCCGTGCACGGCGGCATGCCCTTCATCTTCAAGGTTCTCTCGGCAGGCCAGGCGCTGCCGCTCCAGGCGCACCCGGACCTCGAGCTGGCGCGCAAGCTCAAGAGCCAGACGACCATCGAGAGCGACGAGCACACCACCTTTGACGGTCACCACAAGCCCGAAATCGCCCTGGCCGTGACGCCGTTCCGCGGCTTTGTCGGCCTCGCCGCCCCGCCCCAGATCCGTGCCAGGCTGCGGCGCGTCCCTGCCGTGGCCGAGCTGCTGCACGACTCGAACCTCTCGGACAAGCACCTCTCCCAAGTGCTGCCCAAGCTCGAGCACGCCGACCTCTACCGCCTGATCGTCGACGACGACACCGAGCAGAGCCAGCACCCGAGCGACCCGGACCGCCAGGGGACATGGGCGCACAAGCTCCGCGCCGCCGTCGTCCGCATCCTGTGCGCCGACAAGCAGCTCGTCAAGAAGGCCATTGAGGACATTCTCTCCGGCCAGCAGCAAAAGATCGGTGGAGACATCGGCGACGACAACGACGAGACCGTCGACCTCATCAGGGAGCTCAATGGCCAATTCCCTGGCGATGTGGGCTGCCTGATCGCGCCCGTCTTTATGAACCTGGCCAAGCTTCAGCCGGGAGAGTGCATCTTTGCGCCCGCCGACACCATCCACGCCTGGCTGAGCGGGTGAGTGTGGCCGGCCGATCGCCCTTTGGATCCCGTGTGACGCCGCGCACCAGCCAGCTGACCCATCCCTCGCTCCTTTGGTCACAACCGACCAAAACCGGCCGGCCTCTCTTTCTCTTCTTGTCCCCGCCAGCGACATCATCGAGTGCATGCCGTCGAGCGTCAACGTCGTCAACTCGGCGTTTGGGCCGGAGCCGTCCAAGGAGACGGTGTCGCTGTTTGCCCAGATGTTGAGCTACGAGTCCAAGTCGCTCGACGCGTACATGCTGCGACCGCGCAAGGTCGAATCGGCCACGCGGGCGGGGGCCGGCGGCGGCGGCGGCGGAGGCCAAGCGACCTCGGTGCACCGATACGACGTGCCGTTTGACGAGTTCAACGTATTGCGCGTCCAGATTGCGCCGCCGTCGCCCTCTTCCTCGTCGTCGTCGTCCGAAGCCAAGGTGGAGCTGTTTACGGGCGAATCGGACGACAACCAGGTGCTCGAGGGCGTGGCGGTGCTGAGCTGCGTCAGAGGACGAGGCAAGGTCACTGGCTTCTCCACGGCAGGCGGCGGCGGCGGCAGCAGCAGCAGCGACGAGAAGGTCGAGTCCGACATCGACGAGGGCAAGGTGTTTGTCGTCGCATCGGGCACGCGCGTGCGCATCCAGCCGGTCCAGGACCAGAGCGAGGGCCAGAGCGAGAAGCTCGAATGCTACGTGGCCTACTGGTCGGCAGGCGACAAGAAGTAGGCTAGGTGGCAGCCTGCGGTGCCGGTCTCGGTCCTGTAGCACGCAGCGGCTGCGGCTGTGGCGATACGATGATGATACGGCCGTCGGTCGGTCGGTCGGTCGTTCGGTGCAATCCAAAACGCCGGGAGCCGCACCCGCCCGCCCGCTCGCCCGTCGTCGGATGAAATTTGAAATTTGCCGGACAGGCTCGAAAACGCCTGCCAAGCCCTCGGAACCAAAAACGTGGGGCCAGCCATGCAGCAGGCGGCAGGCGGGTCGGGCCAAAGCCGCGCACCGGCGTCTTGGAACAGGCGGCAGGCCCAGCTGGGCTAGGCAAGCAGGCCAGGCCAGGCAGGTGGAGGAAGTCGCAGGGGGCCAGGCAGGCGGGCGCGTCTGGGCTGGTCGGGTCGGGCCGCGAGCGAGGGTTTTTTGCCAAGCCTCTTGGCGGGCCATCCTTCCGTCCTTCGCTCGTCTCGGCCTCACGCCGTACCATCACGAAACGGCCGTCGATCCATCTATCTCCTCGCTCCCCTCGAATCTCGCTGAACCGTTTGTCCATGTGGTCCCAAGACGCCTTGCTTGTCTTCGGGCCGCTCTGCGCCAATCGGATGATGCCGTCACCGTCCTGCGCCCTCGCTCTCGCTCTCGGATGGCATTGGGCCGAAGCCCTGGTGGCGAGCAAGCCGGCTCTTCTCTTTCTTGACGGGTCGCCCGACCAACCGCTTAAGAAGCCAGCTTGCCTGTCGACGATCTCCTTCGGCCCCCCTCTTCACTACCACAACAACACCGCTACCGTCGCCCCCCCTTGTCATACGGTAGAATCCCAGCACCACGGCCACTTGCCTCGCATCGCCTGCTCACAACTCCACTCGCCTCCATCAACTTATCGAGCGCAGCTGCTGCCGCTCGACTGCTGTCCTTCTATGCTGAAGTCTGCCACCGCAACCCTGCCCTTCCCCGCCCTCGTCGCCCTGTACTGCGAGAGCACCTCGCTCAAGATCGAAAGGTAGACGGCCACCTCCTCGCCTCGCCTCGCCTCGCCTCTCCTCACTTTACCAGCCATGACTGCTGCCACCGCCGCTGCGGCCGACGCTGCCGCTACCGCCCGCGCCGCCCAAGATGGGCCCCTGCCGGCCCCGGCCCACACCCTCGACGCCCAGCGCATCGTCGAGGCCTTTGAGACCGACATCGATGGCGGCCTCACCCATGACCAGGTGCGCGCCAACCTCGAGCGCTACGGCCCCAACCGGCTCAAGGAGGTGCCCCCGCCCTCGTTCCTCGCCATCCTCGTCCGCAACACGCTCAACGCAATGACCATCGTCCTCATCGCCGCAATGGCCGTCAGCTTCGGCACCCAGGACTTCATCTCGGGCGGCGTCATCGCCGCCCTCGTCGTCATCAACGTCGCCGTCGGCACCGTCAACGAGTACCTGGCCGAGCGCACCGTGGCCGCCCTCGAGGCCATCGGATCCCCCTCGGCCAACGTCGTCCGCCGCGCATCGCCCGGATCCGCGCCCGAGATCGCCACCATCAAGACCGAGGACGTCGTCCCCGGCGATGTCCTCATTGTCAAGATCGGCGACATTGTCCCAGCCGACTGCCGCATCCTCGGCGGCGGCCACCTCGCCGGCCTCGAGTGCGACGAGGCGCTCCTCACCGGCGAGTCGCTCCCTTCGGTCAAGACCGAGGAGCCCATCCCGGACCCCGTCTGCCCCGTCGGCGACCGCACCTGCCTCATCTACTCGGGCTCCCAGGCCGTCAAGGGCCGCGCCCGCGTCGTCTGCGTCGCGACGGGCATGCAGACCGAGCTGGGCAAGATCAGCGAAGCCATGAATCGCAAGGAAAACCTCAACAAGTCGGGCTGGGCCGCGCGCCGACACCGCATCAACGCCTTCCTCGGCCTGGCCGACACGACGCCGCTGCAGATCAAGCTCAACAAGCTGGCCTACGTCATCCTCGGCCTTGCCTGCGTCGTCGCCGTCATCGTCGTCGCGTCCACCGGCTTCCGCGACGTGCCCCTCACCATCGCCACCTACGCCGTCGCCGCCGCCGTCTCGCTGCTCCCCGCCAGCCTGCCCGCCGTCATCGCCCTCTCGCTCGCCACCGCCAGCCGCAAGCTGGCCGAGAGCAACGCCCTGGTCCGCCGCATGGACGCCATCGAGACGCTCGCCGCTGTCACCGACGTCTGCTCTGACAAGACCGGCACCATCACCCTCGGCAAGATGGTCACCCGCCGCATCTGGGTGCCCGCCCGCCTGGGAGGCGCTCATGGCGGCGCCGAAGATGAGGCGCAGGAAAAGGCGGCACCGGAGCAGCCCGATGCCGACGTCGATGTCGACGTGCACGAGGGGCAGTATTACACCGTCGAGACCGGCTCCGACCCGTTTCAGCCCCGCGGCGAGGTCCGTGCCGGAGGTGCCCCTAAGGGCGATGTCCTGGCCAACGCCCGGGGTCAGGACGAGACCGCGGTGCCCACGCCCGACGGTGAACTGTGCGACCCGGACCACCTGGCTTTGCCCCTCCACCAGCTGACCCTCTGCGCTGCGCTGTGCAGCTCTGCCTCAATCCAGCGCGTCCGCGCCGATGGCGATGGCGACGGTGAGCAGGAAGGCCAGAAGGCGGGCGACAACGAGGAGAAGGGCGATGCTCGCGCTTGGGAGGGCCACGGCGATGCCACCGAGGTCGCATTGCAGGTCTACGCGCACAAGCTCGGCTACGGCAAGCCCCACCTCACCTCTTCCTCCGCTGCGGGTGCGGCCACCGACAACGACGACGACGACGACGACATCATCGCCTCCGCGCGCCCCGGGCAGTACGAGCTGCTGGTTGAGCACGCGTTCGACTCGTCGATCAAGCGCATGTCGATGGCCTACGTCTGCCGCCCTCGCGCCTCGTCGTCGGACGAGGAGCACGTGCTGGTCGTCATGAAGGGCGCCTTTGAGCGCGTCTTTGACCGCTGCACCGATATCCTGCTCGACGACGGCGCCGCTGCCGCCGGCCAGTCGACGACGCGACCCATCACGGCCGACGACGCCGCCGAGATCCAGGCGCACTACGACCGCCTGGCCTCGGACGGCCTGCGCGTGCTGACGCTGTGCGCCAAGCGGCTGCCCGTCGGCGAGGCCGAGCGCGTGCGCGAGCTGCCGCGCGACGAGCTCGAGACGGGCATGGCCTTTCTCGGGCTGGCGGGCATCTACGACCCGCCGCGCACCGAGTCGGCGCTGGCGGTCGAGGACTGCCACCGCGCGTCGATCATCCCGCGCATGCTGACGGGCGACCACGTGGGTACGGCCATCGCCATCGCGCTGCAGGTGGGCATCCTGCGCCCCAACTACGCCAAGACGGCCGTCATGACGGGCCCGCAGTTTGACGCGCTGAGCGACGACGACATCGACCGGCTCGACGCGCTGCCCAACGTCGTGGCGCGCTGCGCTCCCGAGACCAAGGTGCGCATGGTCGAGGCGCTGCACCGCCGCTGCCGCCTGTGCGTCATGACGGGCGACGGCGTCAACGATGCGCCGTCGCTCAAGCGCGCCGACGTCGGCGTCGCCATGGGCAAGAACGGCTCCGACGTGGCCAAGCAGTCGGCCGAGATTGTGCTGTCGGACGACAACTTTGCCACGATTGTCACGGCGGTGCGCAAGGGCCGCGGCATCTTTACCAACCTGGCCGCCTTTATGCTGTACCTGCAGTCGGCCAACATTGGCCAGGTGGCGCTGATGCTCCTCGGGCTGGCGTTCAAGGACGAGAGCGGCGAGAGCACGTTCCCGATCAGCTCGGTGGCCATCCTGTGGATCAACACGCTGTGCGCCGGCCCGCCCGCGCTGGCCCTGGGGCTGGAGCCGACGCCGTCGGACGCCATGGAGAAGCGGCCGTCGGAGTACGCGTCGATCTTTACCTTTTGGTGGATCGTCGACCTGTTCGCCTACGGCATCGTCATGGCCGCCATCGCGCTCCTCAACTTTGTGGCCGTCATGTGGGGCTACTTTGACGGCTACCTCGGCCTCGACTGCAACTCGGGCGTCGACAGCTCGGCGTGCAACCACACGGGGCGGGCGCGCGGCGCCGTCTTCGCGACGTTCCTCATCGTGCTGATGGTGCACGGCTTCGTGTGCAAGCACCCGACGCAGAGCATCTTTGCCATGGACCTGCTCGAGAACCGCGTGCTGCTGTGGTCGGTGGTGCTCATCTCGCTCAGCGTCTTCCCCGTCATCTACATCCCGGTCATCAACGACAAGGTGTTCCTGCTGCTGCCCATCAAGTGGGAGTGGGGCATGGTCGCCGCGAGCACCCTCGTCTTCCTCGTCGTCACCGAGCTCTACAAGCTGGCGAGGCGGATGTGGTGCGGCGGCGACGATGCACGCGCAAAGGTGCGCCGCGAGGGCCTGCCCCTCGACGGCGACGGCGACGAGGCCCTCACCGAGGAGAAGAGGAGGGAGGTGCGTGAAAAGGCCAACGTCGGCGGCGCCTCGCCCGCCTGATGGCGCTGCGTCGGCCGGCCGTCGATGGTGCGACCATTGTCGTTCCCTGGTCCGCTCTCGCATGTCGATCCGCTTCATTCCGCGCGATGCTTGCCGTTGAGGGAACTCAGTCGATCTATCAGTAGACATGCTCTGGAATAGACAGGATACGCACCTCTGCCCCTCGTGGGCTTCTCTCGAACAGGTCGAGGCCCGCTCGAGCGCCTGGACGGAGGTCGTGTTGGCCTGCGGCGACTGCCGTCCCTCCCTGCCTACTTATGGCGGTGTTGCCACCAGAGAGAGGAGGGAACACCAACGTACCAGCCTGCAAACGACGGGCTAGGATGGAAAGGGCCAAGCACAGGAGCTCAGGATGGGGAGCAACAGGCAGCCCTTGGCCTGCAGGGGGCCGAGGGCGGGAAGGAAGGGAGGTGCCTCGTGTCCAAGAGGGCCCAAGACTGGCCTGCCTTTCGAATCGACTCTGACGGTGGATCAAGGTTTCAATTGCCCTCGGCCGGGTTGGTACTGCCTTTCTGCAGCCTCATCATACGCTGCCAATAGAAACGAGGGCCAGGCTAGGTAGGTCGACTCGGCCTTGCCGCTTTGTGCCCTGGCTTGGCAGGCTTGCTTCCCTTCCACCACGACGGCTGCCTCAACAGGCTAGGCTAGGCCAACCAGGCCCCTTTGGATCCCGTCTCTCGGCAGGCATGCACCATTGCGTGGGCATGGCCAGGCGATCCCCTTTATTTCACCGCATTGCGATCGACCGCCAGGTCTGGCCGAGGGACGGACGCTTGGACCGCCCGCAGCCTTCCTTGGACCTGCCCTCTTCGCCTTCCCATCTCCGTCGGCACCGACTTCTTCTGCCACCACCACCACCATGATGCCGTCGAACTCGTCTGGTCGGCTCCAAGCCTCATTGGCCTTGCACTCTGCGCCAACCCGGTCGATCGCACCGGACGACCTTCGGACGTACTGGCAGCATCGATCGACAGGCCGAGCCGTTGCGCCCGCAGCCCTCTGCGTCCGCCGATAGCGCCGCCCAGAGGTCGCGAGCCGGCATCCACATTGCGGTGCCGTTCCGCCGGTCCGACCTGATCAGCTGCCCCGGACGCCGTCGGACGCCGTCGGACGCCTCGCATCAGCTGGCTTCTCTCAGAGGACAGGGACGGGACGCCATCGTTCCCGTGGCCAGCATGCTTCCACGCAGATCCGTGCATGCATCACCGCAGCGAGTTCCGCTCCCCGCCACAATGACGAACAAACTTTGAGAGGAGGCGGAAGCGCAGGTGCTATTCTGGCTCCACTCTTGCGACACCGTCGAAACCACCTCGACTCCGCCTGCTGCTTGTCAGCTCTTTGCGCGTTCTCGGCGACCAGTCAAGCTCAAAGCTGGCGCCTGCGCATCCCGCCGCACCGACGACACTGCTGCGAGCATCCGGTGCCCCTTGTCGGTGGCGTGGGTTAGGGCCGTGCCCAACTCCGCCATGGTCCCTCCGTGTCTCCCGTCAAGAACAGGCAGCTGTCAGCGTCCATGTCTACACGTTCCCCTCGCCCTGCCCTTGCCACCATCGCCTGCTCCGCAGCAGCCAGTTTGATGCCACTTCCAGCTCGGCCATCTTTGTGGACGCTCCAGTCCCGCCGTTCTTAGCGCAGCAGCCTCCTGGGGTCAGGACACCCTCCTCCCCCAGTCAGCCTGCGCCAATGCCCCCGCTATGTCCCCAGGAAGTGGCTCGGAGCTCCTCGACACCACGACTCGACTAGGCTGCGGCTGCGCAGATCAGCACTGGACGCGGGACCTCCCTTGTGTGACGGGCCGTCAGGAGGATTGGTGACAAGCTGGGTCAATGAAGCGCAGCGTCGAAGGCGCTCAGCGAACCTCGGCGCTCCAACCTGCTCCTCCTCGACGCGGCGGCCGCGGCCATCCGCCCTACGCTTCGGTCGCCATCCCCTTTCCCTTCCTTCAAATACCGATGGTCCGGCCTGCTTTCTCGACGCTTTTCGTCCTCAACCACAGCCTCTGCTCCACCTCTTACCATCAGCCCTTCTGCCGTCATCTGCCGTCCTTTGCCACGCTCTGCCGCCATGGTCAAATACCTTCGCCTCGTGGCAGCACTTCTGCCGCTGGTCTCGTTGAGCGCCGCCAGTCCGCTGCCCGATTTCGACCTCGACGCGATCGCGGAGCTGCCCACTCCCACCTCGATCCCGGCCGACATCGCCTTCACCGTCATCGACGCCGCCACTGCTGTCCAGTCGATCCTCGCCACTGCCACGCCGGCAGCTGCCATCAAGAACGATCTCGTGGAAGGCGCGCAGGAGGCGGCAGAAAACTCGGCCGCTCCCACGGTGTCGGTAACGTCGCTGCGGAAGCGTGCCGACCCGAAGACGGTCTACCCGAGCCTTCCCGCCGGCAACTACCTCGACTCTGACCAGTGGCCTGCGGGCAACTTCACTACGGAGACGTTCCAGTCGTTCGCGGCGTATGTCTCTGCCGCCAATGATGCGGCCGTCGATGGCTGGACCAAGACGCAGACCGGCGGCAAAAGCATGCGCGGGGACATGCCTGGCGTGCTGCGCATCAGCACCTACTCGAGCTACGACCCGGCTGCCATGGCGGCCAAATGCAAGAGCATCACCAACTGCATGTCGTTTGGCATGTGGTACGAGCGTACGCCGACCGTGGCGCCCTCGGCGGCCAACCCCAACCCGCAGCCGGCCGTGTGGGTCAAGGTGCTCTTCTACGCCTTCCCGCTCTCCCTGGCCGAGGCCACCGGTGATGGACAGTGGTCGCAGAAGTTCTGGCGCTCGCACACGGGTGCCGCCTTCTTCACCAACAGCGCCTTCACGCCTAGGGCGATGGCCGGCTACAAGCCTCCGATCAGCCTTCCGGGAGCGATCCAGGTCGGCGATGCGCAGGTGGCGGCCAACGGCGGCATCGATCCCGAGCTGACGAGATCGGACCCGATGACGGGCATCCCGGACCCGCTCGTCTGCAAGACGCTGTGCGACAAGTACACGGCCGACAAGTCGTACTTCAACGGCATCAAGAAGAACTGTGCCCAGTTCAACATCATCCTCCTCGCGCTCAACGGCAAGGTGACGGGCTGGCAGTGCCAGTACTACACAAACGTCTTTGACGCCTCGGTCGCGACCAACAGGGGCGGCATGGACTCGAAGGGCAACCGCGTCGACGTGGTCGGCAGCTGGGTGTACGATGCCGACCCGCAGCCCGAGCCCTATGTCAAGGACCCTTCTCACCCGGCGCCTGGGATGCGCGAGTGCGGGCTCAAGAACATTGAGCACCGCGGCAGCTGCTACGAGAAGCAGGATTGGTCCGTGGACATGGACGACGACGCCGACACGGTCGGGATCCGGGTCTACAGCAGCAAGAGTGAGTAGCGTTGATGCGCTGCGAGCCGAGGCAGGGGCAACAGGGCCGCTCGATGGTCGGTGCGGGACTTGGTTGCTGCCGGGAGGATGCTGACGTCTAACCTGCCCTCGCTCGCTCGTCCTTTGAACCGAACCCACCGCCAGGCTACAGCGCCGAGGTCGTCAATGGCTGGAAGGTGTCGACGTCGCACTGGTACTTCCAAGACGACCCGATCACGACGTGCTTTACCTCGCTCTTCTACCCGGCCGGGTCGCTGCCGGGCCTCGAGCAGGACAAGTGGTACATGCTGTGCAACTACGGCACCACCTGGACCGCCCGGGACTTTTCGGCCGACCTCATCTCGGCCACGTTCCAGCAGCGCGCCCAGATCACGGCCTACCGCGACGGCGTCGAAGTGGGCTCGTTTACCACGGAAAAGGCCGACGACGTCCGCTTCCCCGCCGACTGGACCGGCATCACGTCGATCTCGATGTCGGAGAACGACGTCTTTACCGACTTCAAGATGATCCGCCACTATGGCGCGTGATTCCCAGCAAAGCGAAGGAGCGGCGAAGCAGCCCTCTCGATGGGACCTCTCGCTGCCGCAGCTGCGTGGGCCCCGCGGTGCTTCCGCTTCGGGCAGAGACCGGGCGGCTCACCGGTCGGCGTCGTTGTCGCCTTTCGTTCTCTGCTGTCGCTTGGTCTCTCTCGTCCTGTCTGTCTGCCCGTCGTTTGATCGGCGGCCGTACTGCGAGCCGGACCGAGTCGCCCTGCCCGCCGCGGGATCTGGAGCCCTCGCGATGCAATTCAGATCGATCAGACCCATCGCCCTTCGTCGTTCCTGCCGTTTGCGCTCGAGATTGTCACACCTCCGTCCTCTCCTCGCTCCAGTCGACGCTGACAGAGATCGGCGATAGGACGAAACGTCATGCGCAGCGACGGGATTTTGACTAGCTCGGCCGGTGTTGCAACGGCATGATGGACGACCCTGCCATCATGCCATGACAATGGATGACAAGCCCTGCGGAGAGCGGGCGTACCATAGGGCTGAGATCATGTACCGTACCGTACCATACGTGATGTGCCGGCGGTTCAATGTTCGGGGGTCATCGGGATGGGAAGCGGGCTGGCGGACTCAAGCTCGGGCGGGCGGGCAGTTCCGGGCGCTTGGGTCGCATTGTCGTCGGATCCGGGGTCTCGGACCACGAGTGGGCTGCTTGAGCAGGAAGGCTGGCGAGACGACGCCATGGACAGGCTAGGAGTCGGGAGCCAGGCCGAACAAGAGATGTCGTGCGTGGGTCCGGGCAAGGGCCAAGACGGGAGCGAAGGAGGCGGTGCAGTGCGGCGCCCCCGCCTGCTGCGCGGGCAACTCCGCCCACCAGACGCGGGAAGCGGACTCGGTCTCGACTCGTCTCGACTCGACTCGACTCGACTCGACGCCCACCCGCCGGCCGCACGCACACGCACCCACGTCCAACATGGCAGGCCCGACCCGGCTCCAGGCTCGCTTTCGGCCTGCCTGCCTGCAGACACGATTGGGCCCGCGCTGCTGGTATTTCAAATCCCCGGAAAAAAAGGGCAGGCAGGCAGGCAGGCGGGCTGGCCTGCAGGCAAGGGCTGGACGGCGCGGGACTGGGGCCGCTGCACGCGCGGGAACAGACAGACAGACAGCTCGCCCCCCTCTTTCCCCCTTCCCCCTTCCCCCTTCGCTCCCTTGCCGCCCCGCCTCGACTGGCCCACGACCGGGCCCCGCCAACCCACGACCACCACCATCGCGTCTCAACCTCGTTCCCGTCCGTGCAGCCATGACGACCATCGTCGACGGCCTCTCACCTCCCTCCCTCTTCGCTCGCAACTCGTCGCCGTCCAAGGCGCCCGTCAGGATCAGGCCACAAAGACCCGGCCTCGGTCAATCCCTGCACCTGCAAACCGTCGATGCCGGCGGGCCCCCGCCGCCTCCGCCTGGCACCGCCCCGTCCAGCGGTGGTACTGACTCTGCGCTCAGAACCACAATGAAAGCGAGACAATCCGCACCGCATTCTCAATGACGGCACGGTACGGTACATGCATAGAGCACGATCTACCATGCTGCTGCCGGAGCGGGCTTGACCGACCGGCAGCGCGTCCCGCAAGCACAGCGTGGCGTCCAAGAGAAGAGGTGCGCGCCGTCCAGACTGACGGCCGAGCTCCTTTCCGGCCCCGGCGCACCCCCGAGCGGACGACCGACGGGGCGCAAAGCCGACTGGCACGACGCCGGCGCCCAGACTCGACGGCACGCCCAGCCCCATCCCCCGTACGGTCCAGGTCATGCGCCCCCCGTCGGAGCGAGCGGGGTAACACCTCAGCCGTCACTTTGCCGGCCGTGCACTGCGCTCAGCCCCGTCCCTCGACCTGGCGTTGCGCCCGTCGCTCCAAGACTTGCCCCGTCCTGCCCTCGCACCTCTTCCCTCACCTGGCGCGTACCGGTGATTGCAGCCGCAGTCGCACCAGAGCACCGTGGTTCCTGCGTCCAACGTCCTTCCCACCGGCCTCGAGCGCAGTGTGTTGGCGCTCCGATCATCCGGCTGCCCCTGCATGGCACGGGAAGACTCCCCCTCAGCTCCGCGTGTGAACCTCCGTCCTGTCGAACAAGGCGGTCCTTGCAACAGGATCGACCGCCTACATCGGCGTTGCGCTCGCTGTTCCAGTGCACCGGCACCGATACCCACGGACCGATACTTCGCGCTAGGGCAGCACCGCTTCGCGCCCCAGACACGCTCAAAATGCCTGGCATCTCGCTCTCCCCTCGGGCTCCGGTCATGCCAGGGTCGTTCCCGCGTCAAGTGACGGCTACCCTTCAGGGTGTCTCGAAGCGCCCGTGACTCTGGTTCTCGGCATCGAGGGTAGGAAGCGCTCTGAAAACGGCTATCTGCTCGCCGTGCGAAGGGGCCGCAAAGATGGGTGGGCCGTCCTGAGGTCTTGCGTGCCCGGCGCGAGTAACAGCTGTCCGAGACGAGGGACGCTCCACGAACGCTCACCGACGTCGCCCGCCCATAAGTAGGGACGGTCCGAAGAGGGCTCTGACCGGTCCTTTCCTCATCGCTTCCAACCCAGTCCGCCCTTGCCACTCCCTCTACCTCACCCTTATCGACCTCTGCAGCCATGGGCAACTACCTCCGCCTCTTGGCAGTGCTCCTGCCCCTGCTCGCCGTGACGGTGGCCAGCCCGCTGCCCGACTTTGACCTCGATGCCATCGCCGAGCTGCCCACCCCCACCTCGATCCCGGCCGACGTGGCGTACACCGTCATCGACGTCGCCACCGCAGTCCAGTCGGTTCTGGCCACCGCGACCCCCGCTGCCGCCATCAAGGGCGACCTGCTCGAGGGCGCCCAGGAGGCCGAGGAGAATGCCGCCGCCCCCACCGTCTCGGTCACGACGCTCCGCAAGCGTGCCGACCCCAAGACCCTCTACCCGAACCTGCCCGCCGGCAACTACGTCGACACTGCCCAGTGGCCCGCCGGCAACTTTACTCCGGCCGACTTCCAGGGCTTCGCGCCGTACACGTCCGCGGCCAGCGGCGCGTCTGTGCCCGGCTGGACCAAGGCCTACACGGGCCTCAAGAGCGTGCGCGGCAACATGCCCGGCGTGCTGAGGATCAGCACCTACTCGACCTACGACCCGGCCGCCATGGCCGCCAAGTGCAACACCATCGCCAACTGCGCCTCGTTTGCCATGTGGTACGAGAGAACGCCCACCGCCGCCCCCTCGGACGCCGTGCCCAACCCGCAGCCCGCGGTCGCGGTCAAGACGCTCTTCTACAGCTACCCGCTCAACGCCGCCGACGCGACCAACGACGGGCAGTGGCAGAAGAAGTTCTGGCGCACCCAGACCGGCGTCGCCTTCTTCAACAACAATGCCTTTGCGCCCAAGAACGTGCCGGGCTACGCGTCGCCCGTCAGCCTGCCGGGAGCGATCCACCTGCGCGACGCCCAGGTTGCGGCCAACGGAGGCGTCGACCCGCTCATCGCCACCCCTGGCCCGATGTCGGGAATCCCGGACCCTGCCGTCTGCAAGGCGATCTGCGACAAGTACACGGCCGACCCGGCCTACTTCAATGGCATCAAGAAGAACTGCAACGAGTTCAACATCTTCCTCCTCGCGCTCAACGGCCAGGCGACCGGGTGGCAGTGCCAGTACTACACGGGCATCTACGGCGCCGAAATCGCCGACAACACGGGCGGCTACGATGGCAAGGGCAACCACGTCCAGGTGATCGGCAGCTGGACCTACAACGCCAGCCCGCAGCTGACGCCCTACGTCCGCGAGAGGAGCGCCGACTGCGGCCGCAAGAACATCGAGCACCGCGGCAGTTGCACCCAAGTGCAGGACTGGTACGAGTACATGGGCGACGACGCCGACACCGTCGGCTTCTACGACTACGACAACACGGGTGAGTGGCTCGAAGCCCTGGCAACGAGCAGTGCTCCGCCTCGTCGCCTTCCCGAGACGGCGCTGGACTTTCCAGCTGACTGTACCCTCTACGCTCCACTTGAGCCGATTCCATCATTACTGCCTTGCTCCTCTGCTGCCAGACTTTACCGCTCGCACCATCAACGGCTGGCAGATCGCCAACCTAGGCTACAGCGATGCGCTTCACGTCTGCGAAACCTACCCTAGAAACGGCGACGACCTGCGCAACTGGGTGGGCAGCTCGCTGCCCGGACCGCACTTCATGGAGTGCTTCAGTAGCACCACCTGGAATGCGCAGGGCTTTACGGCCGACCTCATCTCGATGACGTTCGTGCGCGACGCCACCATCAATGCCTACCGCAATGGCGTTTTGGTCAGCAGCTTCGACGGCAAGCAGGGCACCAATGTCGCGCTGCCCGCCGACTGGACCGGCATTACGTCGTTTTCCAGTCCGAGTCTGCTCCGATTCACCGACTTCAAGATGGTGCGCCACTACGGCACCGTCCAGACGCGCTCGATTGACTTTGACGCCACCGCCGCCGGGCTCTTGCACGCGCGCGACGACGCGACCAACCGGACCCTCGCCCTCGAAGGCACCGTCTACGAGATCCCTCCCAACTGCCAGATTGGCGCCGCCTCCGTAGGCATTTGCGGCTCGGTCGTGACCGACCCGACGGTCAAGGCCGTCGATGTCTCGACCGGCGACGTCGTCAGCGCCAGCGCCTAGCTTATCGCCTTCGCACTCCGCTCTCGCTGAATCGCGAGCGGGCCCCTGGTCGCTGCTTCCGGTGCAGAGACCGAGAGCGGCCCGCCGATCCGGCTTGCCCATCTGGCCCGGGTGCCCCTGGATCTGGACCTCGAATCCCTCTTCTTCGCATTGCCACGTTCTGTTCCCTCCTTTAGCTATCTTCTTGTCGTCGTCATCGTGTCACAATGTTCCCTTTCTCGGCTCCGTTCCCTTCGAAACGGATCGCATCGTCTTTTTTGTACTTCCCGCTCTCCCCCTTGCGCTGACTGGCGGATAGCTCGCCGCAGTCGTGACTCGCGATCGAGGCAATCCAAATACCCTTGCTTCTTTCCACCTGCGAGCCTATCGACTCACGACGACGAGTAGCGCCGGCGCCGGCCTCTTGTCCTCTGCCCGGACGATCCAAGGCTGCCTGCCCGCTCGCTTTCCGTCTGGCCGACCTGACTGGCGTGGGCTGAGGCGGCGGGAGTGGGGCATCGATGCCTCGCTGGCTAGCTTGCGCCGACGAGGCCGCTGGCGAGACCTGTTCAAGCTGGGCACAGCTAGCCGAACCCAAGCCAGGTCGTCTGCGGGTGCAGAAAGCCAGCCAGCCAGCCGGCAAGGCCGCCGCCAAGCCAGGGCGTCGAGCCGGGGCGAGCCG